AACATTCTATCTCCATATGTAAACCCAAACTAATAAAAAGTATCCCCGTGCCCCGACAAATGATCTGCTTAGGTTCTCACACAAACCCTTCCCTTCTGTGCTGTCCCTGTCAAGTTCTAGCCCAGGATAAGTTCTTCCTGCCCCCAGAAATTGTGGCTACTCCATCCCTGGAAGTGCCCAAGGCCAGGCTGGATGGGAGCTACCTGGGCTAGTGGAAGGTGTCCCTGCCCGTGGCAGGAGGTGGAACTGGATCTCTTGAAGGTCCCTTTCAACACAAACCACTCCATGATTCTAGGATAAGTTCTCATTAGACTTTATTTAGAAGATAAAACTAAACTTTTCTGCAGCAATTAAACGCAGCACTGATGAGCTCGTCTGTTCTTTGAGAATTTCCCTTAAAGGGCCACACAATTCCATTTATAAAATGGCAATGAAAATGTATTTAAAAAGAAAGGCAGAGTGGAGTTGGTGCACCCTGAATGTTTTTTTGCAGGATTTTATGTGAGGATTTCAGTCTGTACACTTCACCTGCTGCTCTATTTGTCAAATGGAGATAGGGATGGGAGTAGAAGCTAACAGTTAATGTCTCATTAAGATTTCTCATCATTTAAATTATCGCTTGCTTTACTTTTTTTATGAAATGTTAAGACAATACAGTGAACCATTTTTTGGTTTTTCCTTGTGAATTCACTTCTGTATTTGATTTTTTCAGAAATAAATCTCTAATGCTGTTTCTCTCTGTGCTTCTGGGTCGCGTGCGTGTGTCTGCGTGGGCACGCCTGGGTGGTGGCCCCTCATCTCCCACTCCACACTGTTCACTAAATGCATTCCAGTAGCTGCTTAAAGAGGACAATTCCATCAGTTTGCAAGAGTGTGTTGATACATTTCTTTTTCTATTTTATTTTTTAACTTGTTGCTTCTTTAGTACTTTTAAAGTGGTCAAATGAATAGATTTGGCTCTTTTATTTTGGGCTTTTTTGGGGGCAGGAGTGCATTTTGGTTTCACTTTTATGTCTGTGCTTGCAGTACGTTCTGACGTTCATCACAGCAACGATGAATATTAAAATTTGACTGATGGCAAAGATGATGAACTTCTCATATCCCAAAGGGAAAGAGCCTGGAGTCTGTATTCCCAGGGTCAGTGCAGTTCCATACTTAAAATTTCACTGTGAAAAGCAGTTCTGAGAACATGTCCTGAGTGTGCTGCTGCTTCCTGGGCATGGTGGCCTCTGGCCTCGGGGTTTTCACCAGCCAAAATCGATGGTAATAAAGTAAAATATTAGTACCTGGTAGACCCTGGGGAGCTTGGCATGAGGAAAGTGCCTCCCCCAGCTCCAAGGGACCAGGCTCACCCTTACAGAGGGAAAAGCTTTATGGAGAGACAAGAACTGTGCCACTGTTAGTGTGATCTCAGGGAGGTTTTGTAAACTCTGGAGGAATATGTGAGGTCTCATTGTAAAAACAGAACAAGACTTCCCTGAAAACACTGGGCTGACCAGGGAAATCCATGGGTTCTGTGAGTGCAGAGGGGAAGAAAGCGGAATATTTTCCTTTATGTGTCGCAGGCCAGACTGAACTGCAGAAAAACTCCCAGGTAACAGAACCGGCCTTGGAAATAAACTGGGATAAGAAGTGGCCAGGATCTTAGGAAACTTAATTTTGCCATTGGAATATGGAGATCTGGCCTTACCAATCTGGGTCACTGTAGGACTGGAGTTTTTTAAAGTTCCCAGCCTGGTGGAGCTCAGCCAAGGGAGTTCATTTACTTTTGGCTTAAAGAAAAGAGCAAGGAAAGCTGCCGTGCTCCGTGGTGAATGGAAATGGCATTTGCCCCTAAAGAGACAGTTATTGTTAAAGGCCAGGAAGAGAAAAAATATATTCCTGTGGAAACTTGGGGTTTGTGAAAGCCCTTTTAGAAGTGGATGAATTGGTGGTGATTCAGGACAGAGACTCAGGTTTCCGTGGTCTCACTTTCGCTTTCGGGTCTGCCCTGCGTTCAGCCCTGATGGCAGAGCAGGACCAGGCCAAGCTACTCAGGAGATCTGTTGGAGTAGATTCATAAGATCTACCACTTTCATTTTATTCCTTTTAAAAGAGGTGCTAGATTATTATTAGGATTATTATTAGGATATTTTGTCTGGTAACAATCAGATTAATAAACGTGTGCGTATGAAATGTACAAGTGTACAATTGCAGCATGAATAAACTGAATTAAAATTAATTCATTAATTGAAAGGATGTATTATGTGATTTCATCCTTGTATTTTGAGGAGAAAGACCACTGAGAGGTTCTGGTGAAGGCTTTAATTTGCCTCCAGGTTCAGCTAATTGATTGAAAATAGTGATTAAGTTTCTAGAGGAAAGACTAAAACAATTGTGGGGAGCATCTCTCTGCATAAATATGATAATGATAAAATATTAATATGCTGACAAAGTAGTTGGGATTTAAGGGTACAGTTCTCCTGGAGAGGTCAGTGTTAATGTCACTGCTGAAATGTGGCACTGAGAGTGGTAAAGGTGAATGTCATTTTGATGGCCAGCTCTCCCAACATTTCCCTTCAAAATTCAACTAGATCCTGGTCTCCCCAGTGGCTGCACTGAGCAGAGTAATCAGGACTGCTTGGCAGGAAGATAGTTTTATTGTAAGATGGTATTATTATTATTTTGCAGGGTTTTGTGCTAGTTTTTATCTAGTTCCTGCCTCTGCTGGATACTGGTTGAGGATGAGTGTGGAAGGCAGCCAAGGCTGTGGCTGTGAAGTGCTTAACTTCATGGACAGAAAATGGGAATGGAAATATCCAAAATACCTATTCTGCCTGTCTTAACCCTTTTTTATGTGTAGTGAAAGGTTTTGGAAGGCTTAATGGAAATAAGAGTGTGTCAAATAGGACCTGTTGAATTAGGCAAAGAGTGACAGTTTTAAACTAAAGGAGGATTGATTTAGTGTAGATTAAAGGAGGACGTTTTTGACAGGGTGGGGAGGCCCCTGGCAGTGTTCAAGGCCAGGTTGGACACTGGGGCTTGGAGCAGCCTGGGACAGTGGAAGGTGTCCCTGCCATGGCAGGGGATGGGACTGGATGATCTCTAAAGGTCTCTCCCAGCCCACACTGTGCTATGATTCCTTGGCTTTCAGGGCTGTGGGATGTGGTGAGCTTGGGGTGCAGAGGGTGACTTTTCCTGGCAGGAAGAGGAGCAGGGCTGGGGCAGGGCTGGAACTGGGCACATGCTGAGTTCCAGGGGCTGCTGTGTGCACTGCTGGAGCTCTAGGAAAGGTGTGCACCGTGTTTGTCATCTGCTAGTTGAGAAGAGCTGGGTCACCCCAGCTCCAGGTCAGTGACAGCCTCACACAGTGGCAAAGCTCCCAGGGAACAATTTGGGAAAAAAAAGCAGTTTTCACCCTTTTTGAGAAAGAAAAAATCCTGGATAAATTACTGCAGTAACTTGCATGTTGAAGCGGGATTTGTTTTCAAGTAATCCACACCTGTCATTTAAAACCACTTTCTTCCCAGGCATTAGCTGTTAGAAACCATACTTTGCTAGGAAGAAAGAATATGATATTTGCATGAATCGTGGAGCCCTTTTCCTGCCTGCACCGTGCACTGTGGCACATTCACATTTCCTAGTGGGAAAGGAGTTTCTTGGACTTCAGGTTCATTCCTAAAGCCTAGTCTGAATAGGACCACGGGTTATTTCCCATTGTGCTCTGAAGGGAACACAAAATGGTTTATGTGCTGCTAAGTCTTGGGAGGGCTCCTTCATCCTGGTTTTAATTATGGAACTGAGAACAAGCCACTACGTCTTATGGAATGCACCTGGAAAGAAAGGCCTTGTGCATACACTGATTTAACATTGGTGTAATTATGCCAGAGCTTTTACAATAACTAATTGGGTTTTAGCATAAATTGGTCAATCTGTTCAGACAGAAACAGGAGCTGGAGTTTGCATGGATATACAAGTTGACGTGGAGACAGGCATGAGGCTATTTTCCTGTTGAAAGAAGTGTCATTTAACCTTAAATCCATCCAGTGTGTGTGTACGTGTGTGTTTGTCACAGCAGCAAAACAGCTTGTTCAGGCTGTGTCATAGACTCTGAAAAAGCAGGTTATGAGCCACCTTCTGTTCGTTAACATCGTTTAATGCTAATTGCTTTTCCCTTCCTTTATGTTTGCTCTCTGAAAAGCAGTTCCCATGTGTTCTGGATGGAGGAGGCAGGGAAGCACCATTCCTCTTCATCCTGCAGGTCTCCTCTTGCAGAAGGAGAATTCCAGAGTTCGCTCTGGAACAGCTACAAATCTCCCTCCCATTAATACACGCTCTTTGCCTCTTTAGCTTTTCTGTGATTTGGAGTGGTTTTACTGGGGAGCAGCTTCTAACATCTTCTCGATGGTGTGTTTTGACTTCTCAGAGCATCAGAGAACCAGAAGGGAGCTGGAGGGAAGAAGACCCCAATGTTGTGTGGTCAGTACCCGACTAAGAGCGAGGGGAAGGAGCTGAAGATCATGGTGCAGCCAGAGACCCAGCACAGGGCTCGGTACCTGACCGAGGGCAGCCGGGGCTCCGTCAAGGACCGGACGCAGCAGGGCTTTCCCACTGTCAAGGTAGGCTGGGGACACGGGCTCTGCCTTCCCAGGGCTGCCCCAGGGCCAGGGCAGCTGCAGTTCAACGGGCTCTGCAGTGCTGAGGGAGCAGACTTTGCAGTCCCTGGGCTGGAGGGGCTGGACTGAGTCTCTTCTTGCAGGTCACAAGCCTTACTGGCATCACAGAGTTACAGGAGGAGGGAATCTGCACGTCAAGGCAGGGATAGAAAATCTGGGATGCACCTCCTGTTAGGCTTCAGTTCCGTGGACTGTAAATACAGAGACATTCCATTCCTGCAAAAGTGGGATAGTGAAGTGCTCTAGCTGTTCTGTGGTTGGTGACAGTGGGCCATCATTGTCCAGTGGTAATACAGACATAAAACCAGGTTTCATTTAAAAATAAAATAAATTGGAAGGGGGGGTGTTTTGGTTTTGTTGGGGTTTTTTGGTTGTTTTTTTCTTCTTTTTTCTTTTTGATTGTTTGGTGGTTTTTGTTCTTGATTTTGATTCAGCAGTATCTGAATTGACATATGCAGTGTCATTCACATGGGTCATGGAGATCTCACTGAGGTGTGTTTTACAGGTGATACTGCTCAGTGTGTTTAGCATGGTACAGGTGGAGGTAGTGGAGGTAGATGTGGATTTGAACTGGAGAATGGGGCAAGGAAAGAGGCAGCATTTATGTGCACACTTGGCAGTTGCAGCCTGTTTCCTCTATGGACTTTGATGCCTTAACATTCAGGTGCTGAAGGCCTCTTGCTCTGAGGAGGAACACAGGAAGGTTACAAGGAGATGTTTGACATTTCTGCTCAGGAAGGAAGACTGAGGCTGTCCTTCAGGGACTGCGCACGAATGCACAGAGTGGGAATTTGCAGGTCTTGTTTCTTCCCTGTGTATCTTGGGGAAAGCAGTTGGAGAACTTGAGGACTTGGAAAGGTTTCCTAATGGAAATGGCAGAGAGGTTTCCCAGGAGCAAGGCTGGGCTTGACTTAGGGTGACAAACAGAAGAACTGATGTCAAATATCCTCCCACAAGTGATTATGAGAGTTAGCAGAGAACTGGGTCCAGGCCAGCACTGCAGTGGGACTATGGCAAATGGCATACTGGGCAGACTGGGAGGAGTGTGGCCAGCAGGCTGAGCAAGTAGACAGCTAGGTTTGCTATCACATAGATAAGGAGGGTGAAAGACATTTAATTTCATATTTTTTCTTAGTTATGTCACTTTGAGAAAGCAGCAAAGCAGTTCTCAACCCAAACTTACTTAGCGAGTCCACAAGGAGATGTTTGTGACACAGCCCTTAACACTTGTGCTGACTGCTGCTGACAGAATACAGAAGTAGGCTTATCTTCAAAGCCCTGTTCAGCAGTGTTAGGAATGCCAGCAGCCCTTCACTCAGTCCTCCTGAGTAATGCAGAACTCCAGTAAAGTTTCATAAGAAAAGAATCCATTCATATCGGCCTGTTGCTATGGGGATTTAGTGCTCATTTATGTGGATTTTCTTAGTGGGCCTTTGTTCATCTGAATTTCCTTTTAACTCCTTTCCCAGTTACCCTTTAGCACCCATCAGTGAAAATTCTCTTTGGAGGAGTCTCATTTTACTGAATTCCTGGAAGTTCCAGTTTGCTTTACCAGTAGGCAGAGGAGTTCATACCCTGCAGATAAAACTCTGCCAGGGCTGGACTGACAAATGAGTCAGTGAATCTTCAGGAAATCTGAGCTAGTGGGAAAAAACCTATTATGGATAAGGTGTTTGTTTTTGGTTTTGTTTTGTTTGTGGGGTTTAAAGGTGGGGAAGAGCAGTGTAAAGATGTTGGTGCTCAGCAGAGATCTGGCACTTGGGAGCGGCTCAGGTGCGTGGCCCTAACACAGGCCGAGGAGGAGAAGCAGGTCCTGTGGCCACTTAAATAAAACTCTGTTCTTGATGACTTAGAACTGGAGTCTACAATCAGTATGCAACGTTAAAATTGTATAACCAAGCCTTGATCAAGGGCCTGGCTGTTGAGCCTTTGTTGTGAGCTGTGCCTGTGGTTCCCATGTGGATGCCTGTGCTGGGCCACCTCCAGACATCCTGGGCCTTTGCTCATCTCTGTCAGTCACATTTGCTATTTGCTCTTCTTGGACATGAGCACACAATGATCTTACCACTATTTGCTGGTTTATTTATTTTTTTCCTTTATTCAAACTTGCTACAAACTTCAGAACTACATTTTTAAAGTGTGTCAGGGAGTCATCCTCCAAGATTCTCCAGAGGATTCTGCTCTCATTTGCATCTCCTCACTGCTAAAACTGGAGCTTCTTTCTGCAGGTGTTGCCTGGGCTTCCAGGCCTGGGACAAAAGACAGCACTGTCACCCAGAAATCCTCGAGCAACAAACGTGTCTCAGTGGAAACACTGAAATACTCATTTTATCTCCTAGAATGTTCTGGCAAGGAATTTCCATCTCTGGCCTGGAAATTTGGCAACAATCTAATGTTTTTTTTTTCACTTGGAGTACTTTTCTTAACTATTTCCTAAAAAGAAGGAGAATTTCCTTTGTAATGCAATGTCCAGCTTTACTTCAGGACTTCTTTTACCTGAGAGTATTTTTAGTTTGTGGCATCAGTGGGATCCCACTAATAAAAAAAGCATGAAGAGGATACAAACCATTTCATGCCAGGGTGTTGATGTTACAAAAATGAATGTATTTTTCACTGACATGTTCTGGGATAGTTATGGCTTGCACATGGGATTGCAGGAGGATGGTAAAATGTCTGATGTGCTCTTATGAAGTGTTTCAGCGAATCCTGACTTTGTTACCTTTTAAGTAGATCTCAAGTTCCCATTTAAATTTTTATTTTGGTGTCTGAAGGAACACTGGGCTTATGCAGTTGGATGGTTGGACCATTCAGTCATTCCATTTCTCCCTCTGCTTCCCTTTCATTCTATTCTGATTTCTTCAGGAGTTTTGGAAGTGTTGCACAATTCTAATCTGGTTTCACGAGGATTTCAAAATGCATCTGGCATGGAGGTGGGGTCCTGGAATGGACCTGTACACATACAGCAAAACCTCTTCAACTCTGGAATCAGCCCCAGGAAATGTTCTTTTCTTGGCTGACTGGTGGATGTAGATCTGGGGGGGAAGGAGAATCCTGGGCAGAGGCAGGGAATAGTCACATTTGGGGTGAGAACAGGAGGTCGTAAGAGACACGAGAGTCGCAGTTGGGATAATTCTGTCTGAAGGTAGACGGGATTCAGGCTGGTTTAGAAACCAGATACTAATAATGACAATTAAAGCAGTCATTCCTGTGTTAATTGCCCACCTGGCATGTTGCAGCTGGAAGGCCACAATGAGCCCGTGGTGCTGCAGGTGTTCGTGGGGAACGACTCGGGGCGAGTGAAGCCCCACGGCTTCTACCAGGCGTGCAGGGTGACGGGCAGGAACACCACGCCCTGCAAGGAGGTGGACATCGAGGGCACCACTGTCATCGAGGTGGGGCTGGACCCGAGCAACAACATGACACTGGCGTGAGTAGCTCTTCTCAGGAATATTTTAGTTTATTAGCTTGGGTTTGGGAACCAATTTCCTTTTCCCGTTGGATGGGTTACAGTTCAAGTTTGAACATCTCGGCGCCCTCCTCGCTCTGCTCCTTGGCTCTTGCTTGCCAGTCAGTGTACTCAGAGGAGATACCAGGTGGTCCCTGTGCTTTTGGGAACCCAAAATCCTGGGTAAATTGCAATATTCTTCTTTTTAACACATCAGGCTGTGTTTGCTTCTACTGTTCTTGTTTTTTTGGCTGTTTTTTGCTTTAAATCATTTTGCATGGAGCCTGTCTGAAAGCCAGCACTGCATCACTCACCTGGCCCTGTACATCTCCCCTAGGACCACACTTATGGGAGGACTTATCTGTCACTTCCAAGTCCCACTGAACATAAATAATATGACTACAGTAAGTTTTCTTCTACTCCTGCTTTCTTTAAGTGAATGCAGAATATTTTGAAGCAATAATCCTGCAAACACAGATCTCGCCCTGGGGATGGAAGAATGAAGAGCTGTGATTCTAAATTGAATGCTTACCAGAATTATATTGCACTTTCTGTTTTATTCATGCTTTCATATGCCTTTCTGCCATGATTCATCATCCAAATTAGGCAGGGTTGAATGAAAACTTGAAAAAGGTCATAGATTTTATGTAAATAAAAAGAAATCTAATAACATTTCAGTAATTACCTCAAGGCTTTTGACTTTGGCTTATGAAGCTACTTGAGAGATTGTTGGAGCTGCTGAACTTACTAAACTATGAAATTCTGCTCTGTTTTGTATTGTTAGGGTTGATTGTGTGGGAATCCTGAAGCTGAGGAATGCTGATGTGGAAGCCAGGATAGGGATTGCTGGCTCCAAGAAGAAAAGCACCCGCGCTCGGCTCGTCTTTCGCGTCAACATCACGCGCAAGGACGGCTCCACCCTGACCCTGCAGACGCCTTCTTCCCCAATTCTGTGCAGTGAGTGTCAAAGCAAAGAGCTGAGTGTAGAGGGATCAGGGTTTTAGTGTGATCTCAGCGTGGAAAGAGTGGTTAAACATTGGCAGGGGCTGCCCAGGGAGGTTTGGAGTCCCCATCCCTGGAGGTGCCCAAGGAAAGCCTCATTGACACTCAGGGATCTGGGCTGGGGACAAGGTGGGCATCGGGCACAGCTGGGACTGGATGGGCTTGAAGGTCTTTTCCAACCTAAATGATGCTGTGATTCTGTGGAAATGCCTTGGGAGGAAAAAAAACACCCTATGTTAATCTGTGATAATTTCAGAATTGCTGTAGCTAAAATCAAGTGATTTTAGGTTTTAGATTTTTATTCGTGGTGGGATATTAGTTAAAATTATTGTCCAGTATTGAAAAATAGTTACACATTTCCTGATCTTCCATTCAGTGAATTTTTGCCTCCTAAAATGTCACCATTTTTGTTGTGATTGCTTTGAAAAATGACTCCGATATGGCTTCCAGTCTCTTCTGTATTGTCACATTCATGCCTCAGCTTTCAGTGCTAGACAGGACTTGCAGAAAGTCAGCAAACCTGGCTCTCTCAAGCTGTGGTCTTTGCATGGGCCAGAGGCTGAATCTGTTCTGGTTCAGTGCAAGAACAAAACTTTTTATAGCTCTTTATTAAACTGCTCTGTTTAGCATGAGCACAGATGGCTGCCTTGGCTGGGGAGGTTCCACTGACCAGCAGGGAAAAGGGCACTGTGGAATCATGGAATGGTTTGGGCAGGAAGGGACCTTAAAGACCATCTTGTTCCACCCCTTATCTCGATGAATGAGATGGAGTGCTTTTTCTCTGTGCATGGGAAGAGCAGAGAAGCTCCTGGATATGCTCTTTTCATGGTATAATAAGGATTTTTTGGGGTTATTTTTTAGAAATACAGTCATCTTTGCAACTCCATTCCAGTCAGTAGACCATGGTGGTATCTCACAGTAATGGAGTATCTGATACTAATACTCAGATTTAAGATAAAAACATTCGCTATAAAACCTCTCAAAGCTGTTCCTGTATCTCTTTAGTCTGTAACTTTCTGGTTAAAGATAAAATTATTTCACCCTTAGAAGAAAAGGGAGTGGAAGTCACCTGATGTTTTCTTTAACAGTTCAAAACTTGCTATTGTGAGTAGAAGCTGAGAGTCTGAAATGAAAAATTTAGAGACTGATTTTAAAATAGGCTGTTGAGCTATAAAAAGCTGTATTTGATGCAAAGAGTAAATGGGTTTGGTTTTTGGCAGGCAGGGGTTTGGTCACTTGCTAAGAAAATATTGTCAATTGTGGAAGTTGCTAAGAGATTGCCCAGGAATTCTACAGTGTCTCCTCTGCTGGAAGTCTTAGAACACAGAAACAAAATACTCTGGTCAGACTTGTGTCTTTGGGGAATGTGTGGGTAAAGCTGATCATGGTGTGAAGGTTGAGAGGGGAATTCCTGAGGCTCTTTCCAGGACTGTGCTTCTGTCTTAACTTAGGCCAAAGCTACAGGGACTTGCAGTAGACCTTAGCCAAGCAAATGGTGTTGGCACATGGGTACTGGCTGATCAAAACAGCATGAAATGTGTTGCTTATTGAATATAAATCATCTCCTCAAGCACATTGCACTGGGTTGGTTTGCTACATAAACCTTACTACAGATGTGTAATGTACCTTCACAACGAGGTTTGCATTTGCACTCATCAGAGCCTGTTTACATTGTGTTTTATAGCTAATAATGTTCCTGAAACCATAGAAAAGACATTAAGGAGCTGCAGGCTCTTTATTTAAGGGCTGTGTTTTAAATAGGCTTTGTTAACTTGTTAGCAAACCTAAATCCAGTTACTCTTTTCATGTGCCTTGAGCATATTCAGTCGTTGCGTAACGGTTGCCTGGGAACCCGCAGCCAGAGTTGTAGAAAAATCCTTTCTGAAAGGTCATAAAATAATTTGGAGTGGTACAGGATGTATATTCTGCTGTGTAGTAAGCCCAGAAAATATTGTTATTAAACACTCAAAGTGGGCCAGGCAAGTGGAGAAGCACGAGTCTGGGTGTGTGCCCTGGGGAGCTGTGGTGAGAAAAGGTGATTGAGAAACCTTCATTAGAAACTGGGATTATTTTATATTAGATGTGTCAAAGCACATTATTTTAAAATGTATCTCTGTTTAAATTGTCTGCAGTGCTCATTTGCATTTGGCACACGTGGTCCTAGTTGGTTTAAGTAGAATAGGAGTGGTTTGCATCAATGACAGTTTATGATAAGAATGATTTAAATCATCATCTGGACCTCTGGCACAGGGGCATCCAGAGATGTGTGTCTGTAAAACCATATCCTCTTGTTTATTTGATTTGATTGCTAAAATTCCCAACTCCAGAGAGGTGAGTCTTGCAAGGATTTGGAAGGGACCTTGAAGCTCATCCCATTCCACCCCCTGCCAGGGACCAGGGGACCCCAGGTTGCACCAAGCCCTGGGTTAGTTCTTGCACCAGACAGACACCTGTGTCGTGTAAAAAAACTGTTCAAAGCCCCCCAGGTAATAAGGCAGTTACTCCTTCTGCTCTTTTACACAGCAGAACAAAATAAGCTTCACAAAAAAATAAAGTTTTATGACCCAGAGGCTGAATTTGCAGGTAGGCTTCAGGTGTGTCCAAGGCCTGATGCCTCTGGAAATCACTCTACACCAGGGAATTACAGAACCACATTTCCTTCTCTTCTGAGCACTTGTTAAGCTTTGGCAACACTGGGAGTTTTCTCTTGAAGATTTAATAAGGGCAGGAGAAAAGGAAAAAGATTATCAGTGGCTCATTGAGCTAAGTGTGATTTCTGTGAGCTCATTACGTTTAGTGAGGAAATAATAGAAATGGTTATATTCTGAAGAGTTTGTCATGAAATACATGATAAAGATAGCAGCTCAGGGGCTTTAGTTTTTCCTTCATAACCCTGTAAGTAAAAGTGGTTTGGTTTGGATGTTGAGATTTTCTTGATTCCAGACTCTGTTTTTTTCCCTTGCAGCTCAGCCAGCGGGAGTCCCAGAGATCCTAAAGAAAAGTCTCCACAGCTGTTCAGTGAAGGGTGAAGAGGAAGTTTTTCTGATTGGCAAGAACTTCCTAAAGGGAACAAAAGTGATTTTCCAAGAGAATGTTTCGGGTTAGTGTGAAAGCAGTGCTGGCTTGGGGTGCTGAGCAGAGCCTGGGGTCGGGGTTTCCCTGTGGGGTAAAGCTCAGTCGTGGAGAGCAAACTGAGGAGCAGAGTCAAAGGCACTAAAATAAGTTGCTCTGCAGGATGTGCAATAAGTTGGACTTTTTAATTTTCCTTTAGATGAGAATTCTTGGAAAGCAGAAGCTGAAATTGACATGGAATTATTTCATCAGGTACTTCTGTATTACTGTTCTTATTACTACTATTATCCCTACTACTACTATCCCTACTGCTAGTATTATTATTATTGTTATTACTATCATTATAGTTATATTTTTAATTAATACAGTGTGTCCAAAGAAAAATTAATCAAGCCTTTCCCTCTTTCTGTGCATTTCTTGAAATAATACTGATTTTCTTCACATAAGGTCTGTTGTGAGTCTGGTATATAATATAATTTTGGGTTTACACCAGTGTTACTGTTCAGTTTCTAACTGAGACCTTGGATCCCACAGTGGATTTGGTGAGCAGGTCTTTGCCCTTACATACAATGGAATTAAAAGGCCTAATTCAGATTTCCCAGCAGTTCTCCATGGAAAGAGATTGTTTGTACACCACAGTGTTTATAACTGGCTGGATTTTTGTTCCACTGTGAAATGTTTTACAGAATATTTATTCTTTTTGACACAAATAAGTGTCTTTATGGGCTCTTTGGCTGCAAATGATGTCAGGAAAGTGCCATCCTGGTCCCCCCTCTGAGGGGAGGATCCCACATGTGCATTGCCCCCAGTGCCCTGGGGTTTTATGGTGGTTCAGCAGCCTATTTCTCTACCTTGATGTAAGTAAGTACAGTTAAGATCAGTAGTAATAAAACGTGATCTTTTTGCCTGGCAGAATCACCTTATTGTGAAGGTGCCACCATATCACGACCAGCAAATCACCTCAGCAGTGTCTGTGGGAATATACGTGGTGACCAACGCTGGGAGATCGCACGACGTGCAGCCCTTCACCTACACTCCAGAGCCAGGTGTGTGTGAGTGCCTGTTCCACCTGCTCTGACTCCACAGCCCTTAGTCCGTGCAACAGGAGCGTTGAGTAACGGGGATCTCTCCAAACCCCTCTTGCTGGCGGCTGCTGCTCTGTTAATAATAAAATCTAAAGGCTTTGCTTTTCTCATTTATGTGCCAAATACCTCAAATTCCAGCTGTCTTGTGACAGCTCTTCTTATATAGCAGCATCCGTTTCTAGTTTAAGGGTCAAAATGAAGCTGAGCAGGATAAAAAAAACCAATGTATCCCATACAATGCACCAAATAAACCAAGAAATCCCACCAGGCTTTATCCTGAGGAAAGCTGCAATTTGCCCATTTCATGTATTTTAGTTTATTTATTTATCTGTATCACAATAGACAGTGTGAAGGTTTGTGTGGGTTTCAAAGAACCTGAATTTCTTTAAGCTATAAGGAATTGTTTTGGTTTGCTTTGTGTTTTTTTGGCTTGTTTGCTGATTTAACGTAAGGAAGTTCTCAATGTGTTTTGTCTCGGCAGCTGGGACTCTGAATGTTAATGTGAAGAAGGAAATCTCCAGCCCAGCCCAACATTGTTCTTTTGAAGAGGCTATAAAAGGTACTAAATTGATTCTTATCAGTGTTCTTAATAATTTAACTATGAATTCCTATCCAGATTTGGTGAAATGAATCAGACATCCTGTGATAAGTGTGTGCTTATAAAATCTGGCTCTGTTCTTACAGGGAGGTTTGTTTTCTGACTCTGAAACTTTTACTTTATAGCAGTATTCCTGTCAGTATATTTTAGTACAAGCTAATGCAGAACAAAAGAATAGCAAAAAATAATACTAATTTCTTTTTCATTTTTCCTGCATTAGGCTCTGCAGTCTAATCTTTATTTAGTATGTTTGCAAGTGAAGAATAAAAAAGAAGCCTAAGGTTGCAGCTAATACAAAGAATTAGGAACAGTGTAGTGTTATTTTAAGCAAATCTATAAGCTATACAAAATGTGTATAAATATAAATGTATATAAAATATACAGGGTAAGCCTGACATCCAGTTAATTTAGTGTGGAGCTTAACTGAGGGAAAATCCCAACTGCTCCAGGAGAACAGCTGCTGCTCCTCAGAACACAACGTGCTGTTGCTGTTCCTTCATGTCCTCAGTTAATTTATGCAATAAATCTGAATTCACCTTCTCATGGGGTTTTTGTGTCAGCTTCTCTTTGATGCTTCATTCCTGTACCTGTTCTGCTCCAGGCTGACTCTGAACCAGAGGTCAGAGGATCTTGCCCGCTGTATGTACTTGGTCTGTTCTGTCCTTCCTCACTCTATACACACGTGCAGAAATTTTACTGCCACATTGCTGTAAGGTTTAAATTTGCTTTGGGTGTTGAGATCTGTTGCTTTACGTTGAAGAGTCATTCTTTAATTTACTTAAAGGGAGTTCTGGAATGATTGGTTTTACCATTGCCCCTCTTGTTCTCGTTTTGTTTGTGGCTGCAGCAGTGAAGGCCACGGGCTGTAACCTGGAGAAGGTGAACATTCTTCCTAGTGCCTTGATAACTCCACTCATGCCAAGCAGTATGATCAAGAACGAAGATGTGGCTCCAATGGAAGTAAGTGCACAAAAATGCTCTCCCCCCGTGCTCCAGGTGAGTTTGATGGGGGCTGAGCACAGCAGCTTTCAGAGTTAATCTGCTCCTTGGTCCATGCTTTACTAGTGGAGAAGAGTAGTAGGCAGGGAAAGTGCCATGTCCAGGATCAGTCTGGGCAAAACAATCACAGAGCATGAGTGAAACAGGCAGTTTCCTTCAGTAGCTCACCTGGTTCCTTCATCAGACTGATGGCTTAGTGACCCTGTGATGGGGATTTTTATCCTGTGACACAGAACTAGTAAATTGCTGTAAGAATATCCTTTTAATCAGTTCTTAGCATTGCTTTCATTGAGTTGTGCTGTGATTCCATCCTTGAGGTAGCATTTCCACTGCTAATCATTTGCTTGCTGGTTTGGGTGTGTCTGGGTTTCACATCTCCCTCTGATCTTCCCTGGACATCAGGGATTTTGGGAAATTGTATTCACATCACATTTATAAGTTTATAAATTACCAAATGTCTCACTCTTTTCAGGCTTCAAATGTGGTCGGACCAACTCAGCAAACATTGGAAAACAGCATGTCTGGCATATCAACTTCTGCTTCCCATTTACCTTCTGAAAGTGAAAACCAGCAGCAAATCCAGCCCAAGGTGTACACCCCAGAGACCCTGAGCACCATCCAAACGCAGGACATTTCCCAGCCCGGCAGCTTCTCCGCAGTGTCCACCCCGGGCCAGCTGCAGAACAGCGATGCCCTGCTGCAGCAGGCTGCGCAGTTCCAGCCGCGGGATTCGCAGCCCAGGGAGGTGCTGCAGTCGGATGGCACGGTGGTGACTCTGTCCCAGCTGACCGATGCCTCGCAGCAGCAGCAGCCGACGCTCTCGGAGCCGGCACAAGCCCTGCAGCAGCAGATTTCCTCCAGCATCTTCTCGTCGGCCAGCGGCGTGAGTCAGCTCCAGAACACCATCCAGCAGCTCCAGGCTGGGAACTTCCCCACCAACACCGCCACGGGCAGCAGCAGGAACGTCGACTTGGTGCAGCAGGTTCTGGAGGCTCAGCAGCAGTTATCTTCCGTTTTGTTTTCGGGCTCAGACAGCAGCGAGGATGTCCAAGATCAGCTGAACGCAGATATCTTTCAGCAGGTCAGCCAGATACAGAACAGTGTAAATCCAGGGATGTTTTCCTCCTCAGACACAGCTGTCCATTCCAGACCGGAGAACCTTTTGCCTGGACGAGCTGAGAACGTTCACTCCCAGCCTGAAGGTGCCCTGTCCAACCAGCAGCAGCAGCAGCAGCAGCAGCAGGCCATGGAGACGTCGGCCATGGTGATGGGGATGCAGCAGAACATGTGCCAGGCGGCCACGCAGATGCAGTCGGATCTGTTCTCCTCCACCACGGCGGGGAACGGAGCCCTGCAGCAGTCCCCGGTGTACCAGCAGGCGTCTCACATGATGGGTGGGTTATCCTCCAGTGAAGACATGCAGATGCAGTGTGAGCTGTTCTCCTCGTCCCCGGGGGTGTCCGGCGGCGAGGCGCCCGCCCCCGCGCAGCAGCCGGTCTCCAACAACGGCCCTGCCATGTTCCAGCCGACGAGCTCTGCAGAGGGAGAGGAGGCCTCGGGGCAGAGCAAACAGATGCAGAGCTCTGTGTTTCAGACCATGGTTCAGATGCAGCATAGTGGGGAAAGTCAGTCCCAGGTTAATCTCTTCTCATCTACCAAGACCATGATGAGTGTCCAGGCCAGTGGGACTCAGCAGCAGGGCGGGGGTCTGTTCCAGCAAGGTGGAGAAATGATGTCGATTCAGTCGGGAAGCTTCATCCAACAGTCTCCACACTCACAAGCTCAGCTTTTCCACTCTCAGAACCCTATTGGTGACACTCAGAATATATCCCAGGAAACACAAGGATCCCTTTTTCATAGCTCAAATTCCATTGTCCACAACCAGACCAACACTAATTCCTCTGACCAACTGCAGCCCCCGATGTTCCACTCACAGAATGCCATGGGTGTCTTGCAGAGCTCCTCGGTGCCTCAAGACCAGCAGTCTGCCAACATGTTCCTTTCCCAGAGTTCCATGAGCAACCCTGCCACTCAGGAAGAGCAGATGTCATTCTTTACGAGCCCAAATCCCATTTCTCCTCTTCAGACAGCAACAAACACCGAACAGCAGGCTTCTTTCCAGCAGCAGACACAGATCTCTCATATCCAGAGCTCCATGCTTCCCCAGGAGCAGCCCCAGACTCAGCCTGCTCAGCAGGGTTTGTTTCAGTCCCAAGTGTCATTGGGCTCCATCCAGTCCAGCTCCATCCCTCAGAACCAGCAAGGAGCCATCTTCCAGCCTCAGCATTCGATTGTTGCTATCCAGAGCAGCCCTCCGTCTCAGGAGCAGCAGCAGCAGCAGCAGCAGAACATGATGTTCAGCAATCAAAATGCCATGAGTACAATGGCCTCCCAAAAGCAGAACATGATTTTCAATCCAAATCAAAACCCGGTTACCAATCAGGAGCAACAAGGCCAGTCCATTTTCCATCCGCAGTCCAACATGGCCTCAATGAATCAGGAGCAGCAGCCCATGCAATTCCAGAGTCAGACCACAGTGTCTCCTCTCCAGAATCCTGGAACCAACCAGGCCGAAGCACAGCAGCCAACCATCTTCCATAACTCGCCCCAGATTCAGCTGGTCCAAGGGTCCCCAAGTTCTCAAGAGCAACAAGTCACCCTCTTCATCTCCTCAGCTTCCATGTCTGCCCTGCAGAACAGCATGAGCCAGCCGGAGCTGCAGCAGTCCCCCATGTACTCCTCCCAGAGCAGCATGGCAGGAATGCCAGGAACTGCTTCTCCTCCCCAGCAGCAGGCTCCTTTGTTCCACAACACGGCGGGAGGTGCCATCAACCAGCTGCAGAATTCCCCAGCCTCATCCCAGCAGACATCAGGAATATTCCTGTTTGGCATCCAGAACAGTAAGTGACCAGTGCCTGGTGCTGAGCTTACAGTGTGGAGAGCTGCCAACGAAACAGGGAATGCTTTGGGTGGGAAGGGACTTAAAGCTCATCCCGTTCCACCATGGGCAGGGACACTGCCACTATCCCAGGCTGCTCCAAGCCCTGTCCAGCCTGGCCTTGGGCACTTCCAGGGACCCAGGGGCAGCCACAGCTGCTCTGGACACCCTCACAGGGAAGTGTTTCTCCCTAAAATCTAATCTAGGAATGATTGGGCTCTCCTAAGAGAGCATTTCTCTTGCTGTTTTTAGTTTCCACAATAAACACTTTGACTCTCTTGCCATTACTGAAGGAAGGCAAGGGTTTTAGAAGCTGGAGAGTCCAGAAAAGTGTCTGTTAAAAGTGTACTTAGCTGTACAAACCCGCACTTTTCCTTTTCTCCTCTCTGGACCCAGGCTCCATGGCCCTCTGTGGGATGTAGAGCATGTGTGTGTGTGCAGGGGTGTGTGGGTGAGCCCCAGCAGGGAGAGGTGCAGGCGCTGCTGACAGCAGCTTGTAGCAGCTCTCCCAGTGCTCACAGCTGCTGCTGGGGCCGTGTGCTTTGCTCTGGGAACTGCTGCCTGTGCCAGGACACTGAAATGTCCCTCTGTCCCCCAGACTGTGGCCAGTTGCTGCCCCCTGGGCCGGCGGCGCTGCCGGAGGAGCTGATGGCCATGGGCCAGCCCGGGCAGCCCCAGGGCGAGGCGCAGCCCGCGGTGCCCGCGCTCCTGTCCCAGCAGCTCCCCGAGACCCCGCCGCTGCCCTCGGCCATGGCCACCAACCAGAACATGGAGAAGATAGATGATCTGCTCGTGTCCCTGCAGAACCAGGGGAACAACATGGCTGGCTCATTTTGATTAGGCAAGTGGTGAGTTTGGGTCTCTGGGCTCTTTCCTGCCACGCAGGAGCTTTGTTCAGTTTGTGGTGTGTGACCCTGCTTTAAGGGGTCACCTAAAACACCAGTGAGGCTGAATTAAGACTATAATACCAGAATGAAGTTATTAAAACCAGTCAGAGGTCAGAACTTGTATGAAACAGTTGAGACTGCGTTGTGTTCATTTTTCCTACGTTTTATCATCTGCCGTGACACTCTGTTACTTTGTTAGGGAGGAGAGTGGATCACTGGCAGCTTGGCAGATCCAAACCTTATGAAACATGACTGTGGTTAAAGAACTTGAGACTTGCTGAGTAAATAACACCTCAAGTCTGAACTGTTCTGAACTCTTCCCCTGGGTTACAATAATGTAATGTGAAAACAAGTTTTGGTGGAATGTGGCAGCTCCTGAGTGTGCCACATGCTGAGGCTGTGTTAGAAACAGCCGACAGCATCAGCTGTTGCTAGGAGACATTCTGCTTTTAGAAGGTGCCTCTTTCAGAGGAGGGAAAGAGCCTTTGACTACAAATGAGCACCAAGAACCAGCAGGACTCGAGTCCAGTGGAGGTTGTGGTGTGTAACTTGGGCTGGTCTTGTCCTAACTCCCCCCTGAGTTTTCACTGAAGTGATGCACTTCATTCCCTGATCTAGAGGGGTTTGTTATGGAGTTTGGAGTCTCTCCAGAGCTTCTGCTCCTCGCCCCCAGCTGAGTGTCCACTCATGAGGAACACCCTGAAGGTGAAGCCACTGCACAGAAGGAAGAGGGGGCTGTGGTTAGTTAGGCCTGACTTTTCTACTTGTTTTCTCATGCAGAAATCCCGTGAAGAAAAAAAAGCGACGATTTCCCAGATCCTGTCAGACCTTCCAACTCTGGATTAGGCTGCGTGGAACCAATTGCTTCTGTGGAAAAGTGGCCTCTTTAAAGAGCACACGCGTGGCCAGTGGCAGACCTGAGGCCATGACCATGCAATTTGGGCTCCACAGTGCCAATAATGCTGAGGAGTTATGCTTTGTGTTACTGGGGCGTGGGGTTGGGCTGTTACCAGGTTCATAAACCTCATTACAGTGGGGGCTCTTGGAATTTAAAGCATATCTGGTCAGTTATTATTGTTGTTGGAAGGTAATCCATGTTACCACGTTTACTTTTTCCCTCCTATTGCTTCTTCACATCCCTTTTTTCCCTCAGGAAGCTCGTGCAGCAGAAACAGCAGCTGCCTCTGCCCCGAGCCGTGACTCAGCTGTCAGTAAGTGAAGGGATCTCTCGATTGACACGGAGTGGGAGAGCCAAACCCTCCCTTTATTAGCTGGACGTATTGATAACTGTAATAACCAAGCAGAGAATTGCTGCTGTAAATAACCAGTTCCCATCTGAGAATGGGATTAACGGTTTTCCACATCCCTTACGTGGAGCTGTACATAGAGCAGGGGTTTGGTGGCTCTACAAAATGAAGAAATGAAGGGGAACTTCCAATTGATCTTAAAATCTTCTCCAAAACACCTTCAGCTTGAAAAGAGCATTCTGTGTGGCTGAGAAAGGGACTCCTCTGTGTCTCTTGTTGTGACTGATGGGTTAGAGCTCTGTAAAGCCTCATGAGCTGTTCCCAAACCAGCCTTCTCCTTTTCATTCTTTCCATGGTTTTCTTTCTCTCCCTCAGTTTTGTATTGTGTTTTTAAAAAATGACATAAATATCCTACTGGCTTTAAAGCTAAAGAAACAGCTCTTAGGAATCCTTGGCAGTAAATTGCTTAGTCAGTAGAAGCTTTGACAAATAATCAAGGAGTAAGGAGAGAGGAAACAATTTCTCCACCACCTTCTAATCACAGGAATCCCCCTTAACCCGCCACCTCCAGCTGTGACTGATGGAAATCTTCAGCTTGGCTTTACTCCAAGTAGGGGGCAAATTGCATCATTTTTAAGCCTTCTTAAAACATCACTTCATCCTGAGCTGTTGCATCTCTGTAGCACATGGAGCTCATCGCAGTTCTGAAGTGATTTTTCCTTTTTCTACCACCGAGCCCCGAGTCTGGTTTCTAGATTGTCGTGTTTAATTAAGGAATAAATCATTGACTGATGTTACCGAATGTAAAAACAACCCACTCCAGACCATGCAGGTGTATTGTGAGGCATGTGGATTTTTTTGGGTGCTTCAACTCTCCGGACAGCGTGTGATCCCTCCCTACAGCCTCGCTCGGATCCGTGTTCCTCCCGCTGCCGCCGGAGCCGAGCCGCTCCCGCGGCGCCCGTTCCGCCTCGCTAGAGTCTAGCTGGTATCACGTCATTTTTCATTTTTGTTATTTGAAATAACAAAAGAACAGTCTGTAAATGGGTTTTTTTTTTTAAGTTCCTCGAGTCTGTTTACTGTGTGTTTTCCCCTTAACTCGTGTGCGTAGTTGAGCCGTGTAGAGTTTTTTGTTGGTTTTCCTGGATTTCCCCCGTTTGTTGGTCTGTCACGACGTTCACTTTCTCTTTCTGTCTCTCTCTTTCTCTCTCTCATTGAGAGGCATTGAATTACGTTTTCAGTAGTAAGGCTTCTTGCCGATATGAAGGGAACTTTTCAGAAAGAGACCTGCTCTGGGTCATTTAATTTTGAATACAGTTTTCAATCGTTCAAGTTTTGGATGGTTTATATCTAATGTGTGTTTCATTTTTTTGGAAAGCTATATTTTGTATTTAGGAAATGGTATAACTATTTTGCTATTTGTACTGAGTGAGTACATTGGCATAAATATAAAAAATTTATATATATACATATATATAAAATATTCTTTTTGCCACACATTTTTGTGGTAAATTTGTGAGTTTGTCTGATGTTCTACCACAACGTGGCGTCTGATAACAGTGGGGTGGGGTGGGGTTTGTTATGTCTTTATTGAGTATTTAAGTACTTTTTGCAACATAAATAACGTGTTCATCTCTCGCCATTCCATCAGGCAGTGTTGGTCCAGCTGGCCACGAGAAGCTTCGCTCTGTGTTTGATGTGTCCCTCACTCACAGCCTAGCCAGGAAACCCACAGGCATTTAGGATTATATAAAATATGAAATATTGGGGTTTCCCTCAGAATGAGCCATTCAGCTTTTCTCTACTCTCATTGCCTATTTAATATTTTATTATTAGCGCCTCTGTGTTTTAACTCCTAATTTATGATTATGCGCAAATGTTGGAAATTTTAATCAGGACAGAAAGAATTCCCTGCTGCATCATGTCCAGAGCTGCTTTAACCCCAACCCAGACTTTTTCTTTCTGTATTTTACTTCTTTTCCCCCTGCTAAGACAAAACATTACCAACATCTTGTAATGGTTCACAACACGAAAGCAGCGGCGCCCAGCAGTGCCCAGGTGCTGTGTGGGGCTGCTCAGCCTGAGAACAATGGACCCAACAACGTCCAGAGGGCTGTGGAAGTCCATAGCCACTCACTGGGAAAGGAACTGGTGGTGTTTGCAGGACGTGTGTCCCAGGATGAGCCTTTGGGTGTCACACAGAGGAGTGACAGGAACGATGGATTCGCTCGTGCGCTGCTGCAGTTTGCTCCTTGTTCCGAAGGGCTCTATCTGTTTGTTGGTCAGTGCCAAGTCACCAGGGACCAATTCTCCGTGGAACAGGATGAGTGACCAGAAGAGAATCTCATCCCAGGCCTGCCACAGCTCCAGGGAAGGGTATGTTTGAATTGTGGGCGTGTTTGAGGTCACTTACGAAGAGAAGAGAGAAAAAAACCATACACAAAAAACCAACCAAGGGCTGTGCTATCTCAGTTTTCCCTTCTGGAAACACCTTCCTTTCCTCGTGTTAGATTTACTTGTTCATTTTAGGTCAATGTTTAAATGTACAACACTTTGAACATGTGATTTGGTTACAAAAAGTATTTGTGTGACTGAAGAGGTCGCTCAGCGGTTGGCGCGTGCTCGGCAGCGGCTCTGAGGGTGGAGGGGTTGGATCAGCCCCAAAAGAGCCAAGGACAGGCTGCAGGTTGTCCTGGCAGGGAGCACAGCCTGAGCCACATCTGTGTTTAACCAGGGGCCTGAACATTCACTTGTGACATTTTTAGCAGTTGAGGCTGGGCAGCAGAGCTTCTCTCTGGCCCCTGCGTTCCCGGAGCACACGGAGCACTGGCACACTGTCTGGGCCCTTTGGGTGACAGAGAAGATCCTGAGCTGTCAGTCTGTGTAAATCCAGCATCCCTGGGGGGTACTGGGGGGTCCCAGAGCACCCATTTGTGGGCACAGGTGAGAGCTGGGGGAGATGGAGCTGCCAACCCCCACCATGTCCCCTCGGCTTTACCCTGAGTGTGCCCAGAGCACAGAATCCACAGAGCCAACACTTAGTGCACAGTTTGAGCTGAACATCTCCTCTGGAGTAAAGGAGTTACTGGTGCTTTGTGCTTAATTAACAGTCGTTTTGTTGTTAATTGCCTCCTCACTGCCTGATCTTGCAGAAAGCCAAACACTTTTCTGTTATTTTAACACAAATCTAGTTCAAGAAATAACTCCAGGCTGGCTTTTCTGAAGTGGATGTCCACTCTCTGATCAGTGATTATGATTATTTCTCATCACTGGCAGGGTGGTTGCTTCCCCTGTAGTTTGGAGATAAAACAAGGCATGAGCAGTTAAACATAACTTTGCAGGTTTTTACTGGAAGCAGCTGTGTCAATGGACATTCCCCTCACTGACATAAGCTGAACTTTATTGTTTAAGCTTTCCATTGATACTTTGATTTAGAATCTAATTTCTAACAGGAAAATATGTCTGAATGGATTTTTATTCCTGTTTTCTTGTGCCTCTGCTCGGCAAACTGTTGTGTTCCTTTTCCAGGGCCATTGGGGGAGAGCAGAGGGAGCACAGACCTGGATCTGAGGGAGGGGAGCAGGAGAGAGGAGAGGGAGTTGCTTGGGCTGCTCTGAGCTGTAGGTGGAAGGCGAGAACAGGAAATGCTGGTCACTGGTGATGACTTCAGTGCAAAACTGAGTTTTGAGGAGTCGATGGGTTTTGTGCTCAGGGGGGCTCCATTCCATAGAAGCTAGAACGAAACAGCAGTGGGATGCTGTGGGATTCAGGGGCTTTGTTTTAATTCAGGCTTGTTTAGTCTTTTGTGGCAGCCTGTGAGCACTTTGTGTTCCTGCTCAGACCAGCTGTGCCAGCTGTGCCAGCTGTGGTGCCCCGGGCAGGGCGTCTGTGCCACAGCACCGAGGGTCAGCGTTGGAAATGGGATAAATGTGGTAGAAACAAGGAAAAATGCAGCAGGGGGTAAACTCCTGCAGAAGGGAACTTGTGAAATTCTCTAGGGCAGTGGGGGACTCGGGGGTTACACAGGAGGAGAGGCTTTTCCTCTCCCAGTCTGTATAGGGATGTAAATATGCACTGCCTGTATATTCTAGGATTATATATATGTATATAGAGGAGTCAGATTATTATATATAAATAATAGTAGACACATGCATAGAATACAGTTATATTTGCATTTTTATAAACATGAAATAATATTCCTTTTCCTCAGTAGGAGGTTTTTGTAGTAACTCATGAGTAGCTGTCTCACACCTCTCAGTCCTGGATGTTTGGCCCTGTTGGTGACGTGGCTCCAGAACTTGCTCTGCTTGGGAACCTCACCGGGATCTGCGGGCTGGAAGCAGCTGTGGTCACTTTTGTATTTTTATATCTTTTAGTTTATACTTGCAGATGTGGTTTAGGATAGAAGTGACTCCCAGGATGAGGATGGGCTTCCCTTCAGGCGCTCCAGAGCCTTTTCCACGGCCAGGCTCGCAGCAGCTGCTGCAGACAGGGATTGCTGGTGGCTGTGCTGCGCAGGGGCTGGGCTGACATGGGCTGTTACTGTGGAGCAAAAGGTCCCTGCTTGTGCTGGAGAGGAAACTCCTCTGCCACTTCTCTTTATTCCCAAAAGGGC